CTTCAAGTACGAAATACCACAGTAACGAGTACAATTAGGATTATTACAGAAAGAAATACATTGAAAAAGGGATAAAACAAACAATGCAAAGAGAAGAGAATATCTCAATTTGCAACGCATGTAAAGAAAAGATAAACCTAATTAATACTGGAACGCTCTATACACACGAGCAACTAAAGAAGAAACTCTTGAGGAATGGAAACAATGGAACAACCTCTTGCAATAAAGAACAAAGAAGACGCAAGAAGAATATTCAAATGCACGCAAGAAACCATGAAACTAAGGGCTTTCTTCAGGGATCAATGGAAGAGACGACTTGAACAAATGGATCTAAACCTAACCAAAAACAAGTGCAAATACATTATATAATATATTATATTATATATGTATATATGTACTGTAATATAGTATACTACATATATTATAAATACTGTAGTATAGTATTCTATATATACAATACTATAAATATAGTACACTGTATATACTATACTATATATATATATTATATGCTATAAATATAGTAACTACGAATATAGTATACTATATATACTATACTACGAATATAGTATACTATATATAATATACTATAAATATAGTAACTGTATACATATTAAAATATAAATATAGTATACTACATACATACTAAACTATAAATATAGTATACTATATACATACTAAACTATAAATATAGTATACTATATACATATTAAACTATAAGTATAGTATACTATATACATATTAAACTATAAATATAGTATACTATATATACTATATATAATACACTAGTATACTATATATAGTATACTATATATACTGTACTACGAATATAGTATATACTATAAATACTGTAGTATAAATATAGTGTACTATAAATACTGTAGTATAAATATAGTATACTATAAATACTGTAATTTAAGTATAGTATACTATAATATAGTGTACTATAAATACTGTAGTATAAATATAGTATACTATAAATACTGTAGTACAGTATACTATATATACTATAATATAGTATAAAAATATAGTATATATCCTATATTATATTATAATTATTTATAATAATTATAAATAGATAGATACTGCAACAATTATAGTAATTATAAATATTCTGTACATTTTCAGACTGATTTTAAATTTTGCCAACATAGTCGCAATAATCGTCAAATCGTTGCAAACGAATCGTTGACGAAATTTGAAGATACTTTACATAACAAATAACATAGAACACGAGTCTCTGTACGAATATTTTCGTGGGCTGCTGTACGCGTGGCAAAATAACACAAGAAAATATGTATCAGAAAGGAAATATGCGTCAAATTGACAGATTGATTTTAAATTTTGCCAATGTAACGCGTTTTCCGTAACATACACACGATACAAAAATTTTTCTGCGATAATTGTTCGAATAGTTTCGCGAGTCATCGTGCGCGTTTGCAGGACAATGTTGTAACGTTTTACAAGGAAAATGTGTGAAAACTGGCAGAAAGGGTGAAGAAAGAATGGTCGAGGGAACGCTTGCAAACGCTGTTCGTCTTCTCGTTGAATTTAATGGAAATAAAATGGTTGACAGTTAAGTTTCGTAGACGGTGATATTTAAATGAATAAATATCGACGTTTAACTCGGTTCTTTAATAAAAACCGAGGGAAGAGAAGCATCTCGGGTACCGACGTGAAACGGCCGTTTCAACCGCTTGTAAATACCACCATTTTTCCTCCGTGGAAATAAAAATGTTCCGCGGAATCCACTTGACGTGATAATGAGGCGGAAGCTCGGCTAAATAGAGAATATTTCACTCGCGAACTTTGCATTCTGCTTTCAGCGGAGTTTCTATAGTGACTCGAGATTTTCCTAATTCCGCTTCTATTCGTCACATCGTCGGGAAAACAAGACTGGTCGCGGAAATTTGTATGAAAAAAAAGAAAAAGGAAGAAAGAAAATCCTTTCGAATCGAAAGATTATTCATTGTTATACGAGAAGTGAAAAGAAAAGAAAAAAAAAAAAAGACAAGGAAGATACTTTCGTCTTCGATAAGTGCACCGATGAGTTCTCTCTTCGTTCAAACTCCTTCACATTGCGTAATTCGTTGAAAAGATACTTACTAAAAAATATTTACGTGCGAATTCATTTTATACAAAATGAAAATACTTTTTCACCTTCGATTAAAAAATTCTTTCTCTAAAAATACGATCACGTTGGTAAAAATACTGTCATTTTCGACGATGGATTTCGCACTGTCGGTGCGAAACTGGTTCGAAACCGTTTACGTTTAAAAATTACGTTCAACGTTGTCAAAATGTTCATTATCGGTATGAGACGTTTAAATGAAAATTGACTTGTTGCTTGCAACATTGTTCTGTTCGTATTTTGCTTTCTAATATTTCCTGATGTGGACGAAGAATCGGAGAATCGGAGTTTTGTAACGGTCGGGCAAAAAGAAAACGGCAGCAACACAGGATTTCCGAGACCGCTAACGCAATACATAATTAGACGAGCATTATCGTAACAGCGACGTGAAATTACTGAACTGATTACGCGGACGCAAAAGCGAAGAAGAATTTTTCGTAACTCGTCGAAATTGAAATTGAAGTTGAAATCGTATAATTTTATTTACAATTAACGCAAATTCAATGGATAATTCAAGAACTTGAATGATTTAGATTTAAGACACGTTTAGTATGATCAGTCAAGGACAATTATTTTAACAAAATATCAAACTGCTATTGATAATAATTATTATTCTGTTCTAAATAGAATAATAATTATTATGAATAGCAGTTTGATATTGTTATATTATTCTAAATAATAATAGTTGAATTATTCTAATGAAAGATCAAACTGCTATTGATAATAATTATTATTCTATTCTAAATATATTAAAATATATATACAGTATATTATTCTAAACAATAATAGTTGAATTATTCTAATAAAAAATCAAACTGCTATTGATAATAATTATTATTCTGTTCTAAATATATTAAAATATATAAATATATAAAATATATTCCAAATAATAATTATTGTTACTCTATCTTAACAAAGATAAATTAAAGTTAAATTATTCTACTAATTATTATAAAGACTACTTAATTTAGGGTAATAAAATCGTAGAACACATATTGCAGTTTCCTTTTAAGAAAGAATCTACAAAAATATTTTGCAAAAAATCTACGTAGCTGCAATATAGTTTGATTATCGTTTTAGAGTATCTGTATATTTGTCAGTTTGCAATTATAATTTAATAATACATTCAATTATAATTTAATAAACTACAGAATCCATTGAACTTGCATTTATATTAAAACTTATTGGAATATTACAGTGTAATTTCTTTAAATATAATAAATTAATTTATTATAATTATTACATGATAAATATAATAAATTAATTTACTACATTATATTTATTGCATGATAAATATAATAAATTAATAAATAAAAGTATTATACATATACATATGATACGTCATTTATTGTGCTTTTGATGCGTCGAGATTATTTCTCGTTGTTCGATCATTAATCGACGGCCGGTTCTTGCAATGTTGCTGCAAAATTACGGTGCATTCGTATTTAACACGGTTCTTGCGTTAATTAATCCACGCTCGGTAACTCGGTCACGGCCTCTAGTTTCAGCTGGTACAGGCCAGTCGTTGTTTCCTCGATTACATCCAAATTACGTATGTACATTAACCACGTGGTGTTTATTGGACGATACAAAGTGTCACTCGTCGCGAATAAATATTTCAACGACTTTTTCTTTATGAAACGTTCACGAAAGAAATTTTGAGGAAGAAAGAAAATTGGAATGCGAGTATGCGGCGGCTTGTATTCGAACAGGTACTTTTATGCAGTAGAAGTTTTTTTGTGTGTTACATTATTTTATTAATATTATATTATATTATATTAATTATATTATATTATATATAATATTAATTATATTATATAATATTATATTATTATATATTATTATATTATATTATATTATTGCATAATATAATATAATACATATTAATATATAATAATATAACATATTATTGACATTATATTGTTATAGTAGAACATATTACATGTGTTATAGAGGATATTTATAAAAAGTTTTACTTTTTACTCATTCTGATAAATACTACACGCTTCTGGAGTTTATAAACATACGAAAACATTTTGAAATTTTTTTCGTCTAACACTGTTAAGTGAGATCACTGTTAAGATTATATTAGTAAAGTTTGAAAGTGATTTTACAAGCATAGAAATTATAAAATATCTTTCACGAAAAATTAGAAATTCAGAAATAGAAATTACGAAATGTATATATTTGATGGAAGATTAATACACAGCATAGATAGCCATTTGAAACACGTAACGAGTATTAAAATGAAAAATATTGAGAAATATTGTTCGACTATTCAAGTAATTTTTATGAGTGTCGTGAAATACATATTTGTGTACTAAATTATTCTAAATTAAATTTCTATATTATATTTATCGTGTATTAAATTAAATTTCTACATTATATTTATTGTGTATTAAATTAAATTTCTATATTATATTTTTATATTATATGTATTATATACACGATGACCAATGTAATCACGATAGCTGAGCTTACTATCATGTTGGCAACATATTAAAATGTTTTATACAACACATATAATGTGTTGAAAGGTTTATGAAAAGTTCTTATGAATTACAAGCGTTTGAATATTCCCGACATTTAGACAAGTCGAGCGAAAATAATTATAAAATAAGGCATGAAAGATTGTCAACTCGATCGCCGACGATCAAACTAGGAATTGAATCCTTAATCGCAGTTAACGATCGAAGCTAAATTAAATTTAATCGTTATCAATGATTGAACGAACACAACTAACAAGTCCAACATTCATTGCAATTAAACATTATTTAAAGGTTATTTCGAACAAATTTCATCGGTTGACTCCGATTTCTTACACCCTGCAAACACCATGTACACTCCTCCCCTCAAAACGCGACTCTCGAACTTCGAGGACTTGGAATAACGCTGAGAAATCCGTGTTTTTTCTGTTTTCTTTCCAGGCGCCCATGTCTCTGCCGCATCCTACAACGCTGACGTCGATACACGCGTCGCTGCCCCATTTCCTACCCTCGCCGGCACTGGCATCGCCGGTTGGTTCACCCTCCTCGCAGCCGAACATAGCAGTGAGCAACGCGCCCTGTTCCACCCTGTTCGTGGCGAATCTTGGCCAGTTCGTGTCCGAGCACGAGCTCAAGGATATCTTCAGCAGGTTAGAAAAACTCTACCGTACTCATACCGCCAGCCAATTTTACAACGATTTTTACAGAAGTCGTTTACCGAGCAGCGATCGTTCGTCGAACTCGCGCGCGCGTCTTTCGCTGAGAATTTCTTTAGAGAAGAGATTTACTCACTTTTAGGCTCTTTGAGGGTTTCTAAGGGTTTCTAAGTTTTGAACGTCTCTGTTCATTCGTTGGGAAATTCGAGCGCGCAGAGATACATACGAAAGTAATGCTAATAATTTGAATATATTGAAAGTAATACTAATAATTTAATAACGAGAATAGATATTTTGTCATTGTTGTCCTTCCAGAAAAGAAATTGAAAGAATATTGCACACTTGGGACGTGTATATTTCAGAAATAAGTGAGAGTCGAAAACAAACTCGAAGGACTATGAAAAAGTACTATACCGTGTAATATGTGTATATGATGGGTTGAACATGTCATGATGATTGAGAAGTTTGTTTGAGGGAAACTGTTTGAATTGCAAGACCAAAATATCGTTGATTTTGGATGACGCGGGAATTGATTTATTGGGACTGTAAACGTGAACGATTGGTTAAATGTGATATTGAAAATGTAATAAACAAACAATTTGGTTTGTAAATGGAATTGTAGGTTACGCATGTGGCTTTGGAGAGATACGAGATACTGTTCGTTTTGGAGGTTTCCAGTAGGGAATATAAATATTGGCAGAGTAAATTTATTGGTGAAAAATTAAAGCAATTGAACATGCACGGTGGCGATCGATATTCTAAATTGATGAAATATATTTCTGAAAGGGGGGAAAAAAAAAATTACCAGATAACCCATGTAATTTCATATTCACAATCGATTCTTAAAATACAATATTTTACTATACTAAACTACGTCAAAATAAAATGACAACTGTCAGGAATAAATTTCAATTATTCTTAAACGATTTCGCGTGGTGCTATAATTTTTAATATTTTCAACCACGACCAATTCTTGTGACCAACGACTCTCAACATGAATTTTTTTACCTAGGAAGAAAAAATAAAACAAGTCTCTTTTTAAACAGTTTTACGTGACGTCGATGCTATAATTTTTCATATTTCTAACGTAGTAGAATATACCGTCAATTTTGTTGACACAAGTGTTTTTACTTAAAAAAAAAAAAAAAAACTTTTCAAACTCTTTAAAAAATTTCACCCAACATAGTATTTCAATCACTTTGTCAATATTTTTAAAATTGAAAAATATTTTAAAAGATTTCCTTTTAATAAAAACTTTCCTTTTAATAAAAAAAAAAAATATTTAATCACTTCACGCGATGCTGCAACTTTTAATATTTTCAGCGCAGTACCACGCACCAAGATTTTTCTACTTGAAAAAAAAAAAGAAAGAAAGAAGAAAAAGGAGAGAGAGAGGAAATATTGATGCAAACAAATTCGCGATTCGATCGCAGCAAATTCCTCCGGCGAAGCAAACACACTCAACTTCAATCGCGAACGATTTCACGAGAATAGCTCACGCGTGTCCAAAGTTTGTGTTTATATGGATGGTCCTTCGAGTTTGATCAAGTGGAGCAAACTTACACCGGTGAGAACGAGAACGAGAAGGGAGGAGAGCTGGCAATAGCCGGTGGAAGTTGCCCGGGTGGTAAATAATGACTTCTCGAGCAAGTTCCTCGTTCCGAAAACGAAATCGGAAACGCGGCACGCTAAAATTGACTCCAAGCTGGCCGGCGCTAATTGACGCGTGACACTTTTATCGTGACGCGCGTTACACCTCGTAAATTATGCTTCAGGAACGCGTGGCTCGGCCAGACCGGATGAGATCGTTCAATTTTGCCGAGCATTTTCACGACGGGACGACACACTCGCGTTTCGTTTTGCCACAGTTATTATTTCGGAGAGGGAACAAATGAATGAAAATTGTTAAAAAGAAAATTAGCGATAGTGTTTTCAACCCTTTGCTCTCGACAAACTGTTTTTCGTATTGTCTGCCAGCATTCACTTCTTAAGTAAAATGACATAGCATTTGGAAATAATCATTCAAATGGTATTTAACACGAAATTTTGTTAATCTGTGTCTTTTTAACGTGCAATATCGTGCAAAATTTAAAGCAGTTGTCAACGTGCATTGCAGGCTTGCCAAAGCATGAGAAATGTTACGAGAGTTTAACGATACATAGTTTCAATGGGAAAATAATATCCATTTTTTAACCCCTACATAGTTTCAATGGGAAAATAGTAACCATTTTTTAACCCCTTGCGCTGGCCAACTGGTTTGCGGACCATAACGAGTGACCGAACCGAGTGTACAATAAATTCGTCGCTTTCCTTTACTTTTGAACTCGTCGGTACGACATCATTGAATAGAAATTAGTGAGAAGTAATGAATTTATTATCTGTTTTGCCTGGGTTATACTTAAATATACTTAAAACTGAGAAAATGTTGCAATTCTGGACTAGATATTCTCGACGTGCGTGGCACTCCAGCGTAAGAGGTTAACCACTTGCGCTGACAACTGACTGCGGACCATAACGAGTGACCGAGCCGAGTGTACAATAATTCGTCGCTTTCCTTTACTTTTGAAATAACAGACTTGTCATTCGTTTTGCCTAAATTACATTTAAATATTTACTTAACCCAAACCTAGAACTAAAGCACAGAATTTTCATCAGGGATATTGAAGTGAAAAAGAAAATAAACATGCAATAGAATACATACAACTTTTATTCGTGTATTTTATAAAAAAATCATTTGAACCACTGTCTTGCATCTGTAATGTATCTAAAAAAAATTATTAATTAGTTATTTTCGGTAGTTCTAGAAAATGTTACAATTTGGGACAAAAAAATTCTCGACGTGCGTCATTCCAGCGCAAGAGGTTAAACTTAAGAAGCAATGAGAAGTCTAACTTATGTGAATTATTCCGAATTGCATGTGTGAATTGTTGAATTGAACTCAAGACTGTCTTCAGAAATTTCTTTTGTTTGACATTCTTTTATTTTTCTCACTGTTATTCTCGTTGTTATAGCTCTAGGCATCTGTTCAGATATACTATTATACTACGTCGCGTCATACAACACCAAATGTACACGTTCGTTATAATTGTCAGTGAATTATAAAAAGAGGAAGTTGGAGCTGTTGGCTAGATTTAAGTACGATGTCCCCTCGCAAGGGACAGTCGAGTGCAAAGGGTTAAAATTAAACGCGTGGCGTGCTTGTTTCGACTTTACACTCGGCAGAGTACACTCTTGCTGTAATATTTTTGCTCGCCCGTTTGAAAAATTTATGGCACTAATCATTTATTCAGGCGGATGAAGCATCTTGTCCCATCGTTATTCAGTATCATTATTATTATTCAGAGTTCAGAGTATAAGTGAGGATCTATTGTTGGAATTTCGAGTGTATAAATAAGAACCTCGTATTTGTTATTTAAAATTTACTACTAATAATACATGATAATAATATAATTTAATAATATATATTATATATAATTAAATAATATATATAATTTAATATATATTATTAAATATATTTAATAATACATGATAATAATATAATACGTGTAATATTGAACATACTAATGTAACACGTATAAAATTATAGAAAAGTTCAAGTAAAGCAAACCACAAAGCGGATATTAATTCAGAAATCAGAAACATTGTTCATACATTCGTACGTCGTATGAAAATTTATCGTTGTTTCGTGTTAGAAAAAAAAAAAAAAAAAAAATTCAATGGAATATATTCTCACACCCGTAAGAATTATAATATCCAGCTTCGATCCAACGTTATCCACAACGGCCTCTCTATCGTGAGCATAATCTCGAGAGCGTGCGACGAGATTTATTAGACCGAGTCAAATGAGTCAAACAAGCACGCCACGCTTCGTTAGTTTTCAAAGTCTTTCTCTTCAAAATAGAAGCTCCGCAAGCTCGACATGCTTGTCCTGCGCTTTTAATTCATTTTTCCCCCCCCCCCCCTTAGCCCCGCCAACTTGGAAGTTCATTTTCTCTCTCTCTTTCTTTCTCGTTTTTCTTTTTTTTTTTTTTTTCTTTCAATTTTACCGAAATTTAAGAAAGCATTTGAACACATCGTCCGTGCCACCGACATTTTGAAATTCCATTTAGCATAACGACCGTATTCTCATTGGCCATGTTTGAAATAAATCTGAAACTAAACGTACAGCAGAAGTATACAGGATGAGTCGTTTAATTCAGAATTGTTGCACGACAATGAAAAATGACAAAGAAATTAATTGTTAAATTGCATGGGTCCCTCGATACGGCTTTTGTTTGATATACATATTTAGATCTTTCGATCAAACGAACGAATGATCGTTCGTCCCACACTTTGATAAAATTCCCGTTTGCGTTCACAGCGTTTATCATATTAAACGTGTGTCGGCGGAATAAACGAGCGTGCATTCAAGCATGAATTTCAAATGGTAGAGTTAAGTGATTCACCCTGTGTGATTTCACACGTTACAAAAATGTCAAACGATCAATTATCCACTATGTTAATAAATCTTAATCAACGGGACCATAATTCATTTATTACGCGGTCTGTATACTTGAAAAATGGACACTGTATACTAACCTCTCGCTAAATACACTATAATTGTACATATTAAATGCATGTAAAATATAAATATAGATATTTATATTTATAATAAATATATTATACAAATAAATAATTATATTTATAATAAATATATTTATATAAATATATTATATAAATAAATAATTATATTTATAATAAGTGTGTTTATATAAATATATTATTTATATTTAGAATAAATATATTTATATAAATATATTATACAAATAAATAATTATATTTATAATAAGTATGTTTATATAAATATATTATTTATATTTAGAATAATTATAATATATAAATAAATAATTATATTTATAATAAATATATTTATATAAATATAGATATTTATACTTATAATAAATATATTTATATAAATATGATATTTATATTTATACTAAATATATTCACATAAA